GTCTCCCTGAGGCTCAAGAGTCAGGAGGTAAAGGGAGTTCCTGCTTGGAGGAGACAGGAGACTGAGGTAAAGCAACTGAGGGCACTGTCCCATTGGGTGTGACAGTGATGAAACCCATCCAGGAGTAGCGATTCTGTCTTCCTCCCTAAATCTCCTAGGTTTCTGGGTCTGGAAGGACACAGCAGGCACAATCAGATGTTCCCCTGTGGCTTCATCCTGGAACAGCAGACCAAGGGGGAGGGCTGGGGTCTCCACATGCTTTGCGGCCTTTCTGGAACCACAGAGTATGTTTCCATGCCAGCTGGCCTCCCTTCCCAAGGAAGACTGGAAGAACAGGAACGTAGGCCAGACCCCAGCAGGGGAAGGCCACGCTGCTCAGTTTGTCTGGGGAGAAACAGCTTGGGGACGGTGGGTGGTGGCTGGCAGAGGTCCTGCTGGAAGGTCAGGGAGCAAAGGGGATGGCAGGGACCCCATTTCAGAGATCACCCCCTGGGGCCTGAGCCAAATGAAGGGACTGCAGTGAGTATCGTGTCGCCTGGCAACCCAGCGCAGGGTGAGGAGGCTGAAGCTGCCCTTTGTTAGGACCTTCTTTGGCCAGCAGTCCTGCAAGGTAGGTGCTCTTGTCCCATTTTACAGAGGGCAGGAAGACCATGGAGAGTTGTTCTTCCTCCGGTCATGCAGTGGAAGGGAAGGGTTTGGGGGGCAAAGGGATTTGAGCTCAGGTGGTGTGGCCCTCAGAGCGCCCCCTGTGCTCAGTGACCTGGAGGAGGAGACACTGCCCCGGCCTGTGCTTAGGGAAGTGCAGGCCACGGGTTAAAGGGGCCAAGGCCACTCTGCAAGAGAGTAGCGTGTCTCAGACAGAGACTCCTTGTCCCCAGTGCCAGCTGGGACCTGATGATGGCCTCAGTGGGCTGGGAAAGGACAAGGAAGAAGACTGGGGAAAGACTCAGGCATGACTGAGGGATGGGGTGGGACCTCTTCGACCCCACCTGGGCTTCCAGGGCTGGGGAGGAGCAGGAGGGCAGGAATGGGATACAAGAGGAATGACAGAAAAGCTCCCTACTCTAGAAGAGCAAGGAGGGGGAACTGGCCATTCGAGAGGGCAAACCAACCCAGTTACCTATTGTGGGTAGGTGACGGCATGGAACAAGGGCTGCCTTAGGCCAGCTCCAGGTTCACTTGTGCCACTGACAATGATATCACCTCTCTGGGACTGATCTATTTACGTAACCGTGGGGTCCACCGTGGGCCATCTTGGGCCTTGTGGGGATGCAGACACAAATGAAGACAATCCTTGTCCTCCTGGGGCTTATCTTCCTGTTGGAAGAAAGGCAAACAAGATAAGGAAAATATTTAACTTGTCAGATAGTAGTACTAAATGCTACAGAGAAAAATAAAAGCTCTGAGAAGGAGTTTGAGGTGTGGCAGGAAGTAGTGTGAACAGTTTAGACAGGGAAGCCGCAGAGGCCTGCCTGAGTCAGTCCCTGAAGACTTGAGCTCAGTGTGAGCTGAGCCAGAACTCTCTGGAGGCTGCGTGGAAGCCAAGGTCCTGAAGCAGGAGTGAGTCCTGGGGGTCTAGAGGGCCATCAAAGTGACCAATATGGCTGGAATGGAGAGATGGGCAGGAAGTTGGAGACAAGTTTGTGCAAAAACAACCTTGGTTCCCTTGAGGAGGCTTGACAGGAGAGTGAAACATTTTGCCAAGTTTGGGGGTTGAATGGCGTGCCCTTGGGGACCCTTTCCAGTTAGTTTCTAACATGGTCTTTGAGATCAAGGTGCCCCCTTAAAGCACCAGGCTGAGGGAGAGATTGCAGAACTTGTATATGGGGGTGCAGAGGGGTCCAGCTGAGAGTTTCCCTTGGCTGCACCCCTGGTACAATGTTTGGAAACACCCACTCCCCATCCATTAAGTTCCATCTAGTCCTAAGATGTCTACACACCTCCAGGGCCCACCTTGGAGAGTTCCCACTGGTAGCTCTGGGCTATCTGAATGTGCAGGTTTCCACTTGGGAACATTCGACAATGCCAGTGGGTGGAGTGGTCCTGCTTCCATGAGAGGTCGGGGCTGCTGGCTCAGGGACCCAGCACAGACTGCAGCCCAACCGAAGAAGGCCCTCTAGGCCAGCCGGTTGGTCTCTACTGCAGAGCATGTCCTGCCCAGGTGGCTTCCGGGAGCAGGAAGTACTGAGGGGGACAGAGAGGCTGGTTGTCCAAGTAACCAGCCCCAACCCTGCTATTCAGTATCCATGCTGAGGTGACCATGCCAAGGCAGCCATAGGAGCTCAAGTGAGACCTTCCGGTCAGAGCCCGCTACACAGAGACTTCTTATAGTGGCCTTGCACAGGGCTGGTGGCAGTAGTCGGGGTTCAGGGACTCTGAGGCAGCATGGTGGGCTGCCCTGGCACTGTTCCTGTTGGCTCCAGGCTCCTGCCCTAGGGCCAAAAGAAGTGTGGCCTTCCTCTGTTTCCCCGCCAGCACCAAGCAGCAGCCCTCAGGGGCCTCATTAGGGTCTGCTGTCTCTGGCTGAATCCTCTGAGGGGTGGTGGTAGGCTTGACATCACAACTGGGGAAGTCCCCAGGGCTGTGTGTGGTGGGAAGGCAGGAAGGGCCAGCTGCCATGGGCACAGCCACAGCTCCAGCCTTTCCCCATCTCTGCCCTGCTGGTAGATGCCACAGGAGGCTGCCATTTGCACCCCATCCTTAGGGTCTACTGAGAAACATCCCCACCCACCAAGGGCACATCCGGGGCTGCTGCCAATCTGTGTAGGCTCAGGAACATAATGAGGCCTTGAGGCAGGATCTAGAAGGACAGAGGAGACGGTGCAATTCCTCTTGAGTAAAGGCTCAGGGGACCCACAGGTGCCCTCGACTGTCTCCCTCAGCTGTGAGCCCAAAGGCCAAGGAGAACATGAGGCCTCTGGTTCTGCTGGCTTCCATCCTGGCCAGTGCCACGCAGCAGCCTTCCCAGGTCACAGCACGGAGACCCTGGGGGAGAGGGGGTAGCAGAGGTGCTGCTGTTAGCTTTGCTGCAGCTCATAGCTGCCCCTCTTTGGGTGCCACATGAAGGTCAGAGAATCACCCTCCCCTTCACGTGGGTCCCTCGCCCCACCCGCCCAGGCAGGCAGCTCCAGGTAAGGGCTCCCTTCCCGGCCCCCAGCCCCCACCCCTTGCTGTGATTCTTCCTGTCTGGACACAGCTGAGAGCGGAGGGAGGGAGCACCACTCTTCCCATCCAGGCCCCAGGCACTGGCACTCCACAGCACTCTTGCAGCATTGAACACGGCCAGAAGCTCCTGCCATGGACAGGTGGCACTTGGGTGAGTCCCCCACGCCCTGCGCTTCCACACCAGCTCAGCCTCTAACACTTTCGAGTGTGTCCACAGGCTTTCCAGAAGCACAGAAAAATCAGAAATGAGGACAGGCAGAATGTCAACAAGAACATCTTGGAGCGTGGTGCTGTGCTTTCTGCAGAGCACCTCTGAGCTGCAGGAGCTGGGGAAACAGCTTGTCCAGCACCCTCCTCATCGATCCTTCTGTGTGTCCACTCATCCCTCTGCAGAAACTCAGAAGGCAGGCCTCTGACTGCAAATCTTGGTTCCCCACTTCCTAGCTGCCCGCCCTCTGGCAGATACTTCACTTCTGTGTCTCAGCTTCTTCCTCTATAAAACAGGGGTGATAATAGCACCTTCTCAGCATCTGTCTACCATCTATCTATCTCTCTATCTATCTATCTATCTATCTATCTATCTATCTATCTATCTCTCATCCATCTCTCATCTATTTTCTATCTACCATCTATTATCTACCTACCTTCTACATTATCTATCTATCTATCTATCTATCATCTATCTAATTTTCTACCTGATTTTTCATCCCTTATTATTCCAGAAAGAAACCATGGCAGCTCACATAGATACAAAACCCTGCCCAGGTAATATTGTACACGTGTGGATCTACCTACCCTACATTATCTATCTATCTATCTATCATCTATCTAATTTTCTACCTGATTTTTCATCCCTTATTATTCCAGAAAGAAACCATGGCAGCTCACATAGATACAAAACCCTGCCCAGGTAATATTGTACACGTGTGGGGTGGGAGCATCATCTCACATGAAGAATGGTATAGCTTTGCCAGCACCGCCTTGGGGACCTGCACTTTTCAGCTCTGGCCGTTTCAGGCGAGCCCTCTGACCTTCCTGTCCTCAGTTTTTGTGGTCCGTCCAGAGAAGATCATGGCACAGCCCCCTCCAAGTGTGGCTTGGAGAAGAAACGATCAGCTTCAGTTTCTTTGTCTGGAGAATGGAGCTAGCATGGCTTCCATGGGTAGAGGGAGGCAAGGAACCTGGCACGTGGTCTGCCTTTATTAAAGGCTGGCTCCATTGTCAGATTTTAGTGAACGTGCTTGGCTCTAAGCAGAGGGAGCTGAAATGGTGTAGGGCAGAGGCTCTCCCTCCACCACATCCATGCACATTTCACTGGAGCATGGCTGATGGTTTTTCTCTGGCCAACAGCTAACATTAAACCAAGGTCAGTGCCTGCTACTACTCAACTGGCCCGGTGCAGTAGTAACAGACACACGCGCTGTGGCCCAGGCAGCACACTGTGCTGCTCGCATACATTAGGGTTAACCCTAGGTGCTGGCTGCTGGGCCCACTGTACAGGTGAGGAGACTGAGGCAGGAAGAGATAAGTAAACTGAGAAGGGTCCCAAGAAGAGCAAGTGTCAATCCCCTGCCTCAGCTCAGAGCAGATTCCCTTTGGAAGGACTAAACTTCCCCATGGACACTGCCTACTGGCCCTGGCCCTTTGGCTACCACTGAACACCAGCCTCTTCGGGAGGTCAGTCCCACTGGCCAGAACTCAAAGAGGATCATGCAGTACCCACCCATGAGGGAGGGACCTGCACCGGAGTCCCCAAGGGGAGGGAGGTCACAGCCGGTGGAGGCAGCCTGGAGCCCCCCCCATTAGGGTCCTTTAGCCTCACATTAGGGTCCCACACTGGCAGTGTGTCCTTGGCAACCTCTTCACCTCTCAACACCTCATCTGTAAAGTGGGAAGCTGACACAGAGCTGAAGGAAATACCACTTTAGGAAAGTGCTTTGTAAACCATAAGAGCAAAGCTTTGCCCCAGCATAAGCCCGGACCCCTTCCTGAAAGAGCCTGGGAGGCCCTGGGGACTCCTGAAAGCGGGAGCAACTGGAGAGAGTGCACCTCACGGCCCAGCCGCAGGAGGGAAGCGCAGGAGCTGAGAATGGTGGGGGCCTCCGTGAGCCTGCCTGGCCCGTGAGATGGATGAGTGACAAAACTCAGGGCCGTCCTGGGCTGGGAGGCCTGGGCTGAATCTGCCCATGGGCTCAGGGTGGTTTGGGAAGTGCAGTGGGAGGGGAGGCAGCGGGGCATCCCAGGAAGCCTGGAATGCAGAAGCCTGTTCTTGCAGGGGTGGGTGAGGTGGGCGCCATGCTGCCCCAAGAGCCCACAGCACACACTGGATGCACTTGGAAACTGCCCCATTGCATGCCCAGCATGGCTTCCCCAGGGGGAGGAGAATGCACTGCTGCCCATCCCAGCCATCCCCGGAAATTTCCAAGGGTTGGCTCCCCAGCCAGCAGCTCCCTGCTCCAGCCTCCCAGACACCTCCTCTCGTGCCTCTGCGGTGGCAGCAGCCCCTCCACGCACACCCTGGCTCTTCTTGTGACCAGGGTAAATATTACCTGACGCTGTTAATGTTTAATGCCCCCACCTTGTCCCTGGCCACCCCATGGCAGGGGCAGCTGGAGGAGGGGAGTGGAGACGAGCCCTGTCGGCTGGGGAAATGGCAGGATTGTCCACAGACAATGGTGAGTGTGAGTGTGTGTGTGTGTGTGTGTGTGTGTGTGTGTGTGTGTGTGTGTGTGTGTGTGTGTGTGTGCCTTGCAGAGTATTCTGCCCTCCTGCATGTGCCAGGCTCCTCTCTAAAAAAATGTGCATTGTTTTTTTTTTTTGTACCTGGGATTGAAGCCTGGTCTTTGTGCTTGGGAAGCAGGCTCTGGAACCACTGAGCTAAATCCCCAGCCCAAAAATGTGCATTTGGAAAGAGGGCCCTGCCTTAACCTCTGTGAAAGACAGCTTGAATGGTATCGCCTCAGGTGGGAGGTAGCAGGGGAGGGATGAGCTTCCATTCTAGGCTTTCTGGCCTGTACCTGCCCCCTCCAAGGTGTCCTGCTGGGTCATCTGACTCAGAGCAGGAGGTAGATGAGCCTGCTGGCAGAGGAGCAGTTCCCCTGGCCACCTTTCCTGCTGGCTTCCCCGGGAGATCTCCAGGGTCAGGTCACATCTCAAAGGCATCCTGTGTCACCCTGATCCCACAGGGACATCTTGACGTTGCATGGGGTTGGGGAGGCATCTGTGGCCAGGAGGGAGGAGGCTTTCTGGTGTGCCCAGGGGAGTCCCAGCTTGGGTCTAGCTGCGGCTCTGACACTAACTCCCTGTGTGACCTTGAACAAGACCTGAGCTGAGTCTGGGAAGGCGGCCTGGAAAGCCTGCATGAGGATAGTGGCCTGGGTCCCTGTGGCCTTCCCTGGCCCTGCCTTCCTGAGTAACCCATACCTCAGCTCAGCAAGCACAGGTCCTTCCTGGCCTGTTCACTCCTGTCCAAGGGACTGGCACTGGGGCCTACAGGGCTCACCAGGCCCAGAGGCTGCCTGCTGCCTGGGGCACAGACTAGCACAGCTTGGGAGCCGTGTCCCTGTGTCCCTGTGTCAACGGAAGCTTGAACAGGGCAGGAAAGAGGGGCAGCTCTGGGGTGCTGGAGCTTTTCCTGCCAGGTTATCTCCCAGCAGTCTGAGGGCAAAGGTATGGGCCTGGGGGCTGGAGAGAAGAACTGATGTCTGCCAGGCCCCGGTGCGGGGGAGCCTCAGGAGGCTGACCATGTTGACTGCAAAGCTGCCCTTCCTTTCCACCACCTGAAAGGCAGCACAGCCTCTGGACCCTTTGCAGACTCTGCCTGGCGTCCAGTCCCAGCCCTGCCCTGTGCTTGCTGTGTAAGTGTGAGTCACCTTGGTCCTCTCAAGGATTACATGGAGCCACATCAGTGCCTCAGAGGGTAAATGAACTGACGATTTTCCAGCTTTAGTCTGGCACGTCCAAGAGCTACCTATTAATGTCTCACAGATAAATGTGCTGGAGAGAGCAGAGTCTCCAAAGGAGCAGAGCCCCAGCTCCACCTCAGGCCTCCCCTGGGACTCTGGACAACTCTCCAGCTGGGCTGCGCTTTCCTCCTCCTGTTCTGTGAATGTGAAGGCTCTGTTTTATCCATTCGTTACTTCACAGACATTTGCTCAGCTCCTCCGGCTGAGTGGGTGCACAGGAGTCTCTTGGGAGCCAAGCTTCTCGCCTTCCAGGGTGTGAGGAGCCCCGGGGCAGCACAGCTCTGGCTCCTGGTGTGCAGGGTGTGGTACCAAGTTGCCGGTCTGGGGCAGCCTGGGGCAGATGCCTGCCTTGGCCTCTTCCCAGTGTGCCTGTGCCCCTCGGCCCCAGGGGCAGCTGGGAACAGCAGGACTGGCAGCCCGGTGATCTGTGATGCTCCCCTCATCACCTCTGGCTTTCTCTCCAGGTGGCAGCTCCAAGGGCGACGCGGACCCCTTCCACTATGGTGAGCCCGGGAGTCCCACCCCCTTGCCCAGCAGCCGGTCTGGGTCCCTGCACATGCGTCCTCCTTCCCTCTTGTGGTTACCATGGGGCTGCTGCCAGTTTGGCTTTGGGTAGAGACGACCCCATCCCACCTCTCTGGGCCTCTCTCTCCCCAGACTATGAGACTGTCCGAAACGGAGGCCTGATCTTTGCTGGCCTGGCCTTCGTCGTGGGGCTCATCATCCTCCTCAGTAAGTGGGGAAGGCACTGGCTGGAGGAGTGGCTGATGGGGAGCATATCCCTCTGAAATGCCCCGGGCCACAGCCCCAGCATGACGTGGGAAGGGGGTGCCTAGCGGGAGGACATCTTCCCTTTTCCTTGAATCTATGCTCCAGTGGACCTAGAGGAGCTGGCGAGAGGGGAACGGGCTAGTAGGGCTCTGGGACTTTCCAGGAAGCAGGGTCGGGGGTGCAGGCAAGGGCACGGACCCCACCTTGATCTGGGCTCTTTCCTAGGCTTGAGTTGCACCTCAAGTAGCCCCCATGATATTGCTGGGGGAGGAGGTCACCATGTCAGTGTTTGACAGTGGAAAGCCAGTCCCAGCTGAGAGGTGCCATGGCCCCCGAGAAGCAGAGCTGGGCTCCGCTGAGGCCCCTAGAGAGCAACCACAGCTGGGATCAGCTCTGAGTTCTGGAATTTGGACACACTCAGGGTCACTGCTGCTGACTTGCAGGACTTCCACTGCGGGGGTAGTCAGTCTCCCCAGTTTGTCTAGTATTCGCTCTTCAAGGGTAACACTGTATCGTAGTTGAACACAGATGCACCTAAGCAGGGATCTAGCTTTGAACTTACTGCCATCCTTCTCCAAGCATGTACTGAGCAGCGCACTACTGGGGGACCACAAGGGCCAGTCTCAGCTGTCACTCTCAACATGCTACAGTCTATCACAGACTCACAGTTTGTTGATTGACTGACTGACTGACTTGGACTCTTGAATGCTTACAGCACACCATTTTGCAAAGAGAGAAACAGTCAAATGTGAGCTCCAAGTACTCGCTTCAGCAGCACATATACTAAAATGTGAGCTCCAAGCCCCACACCATGGTGATGCTTGCAGGAGGGAGGGAGGAGAGACTGGAAGAACTGAGTCGTCTTTTGTCTCTCCTTGGAAAATGAGTGGTGAATAAAATGAAACTTCCTTTCCCTTTCCAAGGCAAACGGTTCCGCTGTGGAGGCAGCCGGAAGCATCGGTGAGTTCAGCCCAGGGGAGCAATGAGGTGGGAGGCCAGGAATGGAGGGGTAGGACTGGAACTTGTCTCTGGGGCCATGAGATGGGGGCCCGGAGGTCCCCTCCTTCTGACCTCTCCTGTCTCTTCCATCCCAGGCAAGTTGGTGAAGATGAGCTGTAACCCTAGGTATGTTTTCGGGTACACCTGGGGAGCAACAGGGTGGGGAAAGAATTTTAGGGTTGCCTGTGATCAGCCAGGTGAGAGGCCCCCATCACCAAGTCCCCAGCCCAGATGTGGGGAGACTGCAGAGTGCCCCAAAAGTTGTAAACCACACAGGGAGCTCAGGAGCTCCCAGCCTAAGTCCTGCCTCTGCCTTTTCAGGGTCGGCCGAGCCCACCAGTGCCCCAGCTGCTTGCGGAGCTGAGGAGGCCTGTACTTCTGCCTCTGTCCCTGTCACTGCCACTGCTTGTGCTGAAGGAAGCGCCAGGCTCCGTGTGACCCCATGGAGGCTGTGTTCTGCTGCCTCTGCTCCCTCCATGGCTCCTCCCTGCCCCTTGGCCTCCCTCCCCTGTCCTGTGTCTGCCGTGCACTCTGAGTACAGATACAGTCTGGTCTCACTTGGTTCCTAGTTCACTGCCCCACACCTGTCTTCCTATAACCACAAACTCAGCGTCATCACCTTCAGGCTTCTCCTCATGGGGCCGAGAATGGAAAGAGCCCCAGGGACTAAGCCCCAGCCTGGCTCTCAAATGCCTGGCAGAGTCCACAAGTCCTCAGGTTCAGTCAGGCTCGTCGGTTCTGCTGTGGCCTCTGGCCCGGGCTCTGGTGCTGCCCTGGGAAGCCAGGAGCTCCCGCATGGCTGCCCAAGTTGTGTCCACCTGTGACCATATCCACATGCTTGGCTGACCCTGTGTGCGGGCGCACCTCGGGGCCAGGGTGGGCAGCTCTGTGGGGCCTGGTGTTGAACCTCTGCAATGCTCTCCGGACCTTTCCCCAAACCCACCAACCTACATGTTAAATTCAGGCCACCTTGTCTCTGTTCTTATAGCCAGGGCCCCAGCTGGACCCATTCCCACTCATCTATTTTGGGGCTGGCTTTGTCCATCCTGGACACTGAGCGATTGCTGCAGCCCCTGTCTTCCAGGCAGGGACCCCGGGGTAACCTCGGCTGGGGATGATGTCAGTGCCCAAGCTTGTGCCCACCCACCCTCTAGGATGCCCCCTCTAGGAGGCTGTGCTGGGGATGGAGCCCAGCTTCCCTTCCCACAGAGGGCTCCAGGGAGACTGGAGGGCAGCGGGGCCATGGCACCGCCTTCAGTCTGTCTTCCTCCTGGTGCTGCCAGCATCTGAGTAGAGGGGGGAATGGGCAGAGAGTTGCTGGAGTTCAAAACACAGTGTGTGTTAGGGGTCACCAGTCCACTTGGGAATTAAGCTCTTTGTGCTGTCCTCTGCCTCCGGGCCACGAGGGCCACCAAACCTTGTGAAATTATAGAGGGCTTAAGCAGAGTCAGTTGTTAGAGAGCAAAATAGATCAATTTCCTTTGCAGAAGGGGAAACTGAGGCCCCAAGAAAGGCAGTGACTTGCCCAGAGTGACAGGGCTCTGCCCCCCACACTGACACCACAGCTGGGGTGGGGGTGCCCCTCTGTCCACCTGTGCACACGGAGAGCTGAGGAAAATGAGAAGCCTGGGGAGACCAGGACCACAAGGGGGACCGCCTGGCCGTTCAGCTCAGCATCAAGGTCTCTGCGGCATCCTGCTCTGGATGTGGGCTCACTGTGACAAATACAATGTGGCAGTTGCACCTTAACTAGAATTTGGGATCACCATACCAGAGAGGGGCATGCACTTGGGAGTCATAGGCAGGAATGGAGCAGCACCAGCTGGGGGTCGGGGAGCAGGGGAAGGGAGAATGCTGGAGCTTCCTGGAAGAGGAAGCAGTAAGAGTCCAGGGTAGAAGTCATTTCTAGAATGTTCTATGACCAAGCCCTTTGAGCCTGTCCCACCAAGAAGGAATCCCAGTGCAGTGAAGTCACATCCCCTCTCCCAACCTGGTTCAAGGCCTCCCTCCTTGCCCTTTGATACCCAGATGCCCAGGATCCCCTCCCGGCCTGTAGAGCATGAACCTTGGTGTGGCCCACCAAGGCCGAAGCCGAATCAGCCCCTAGGGGACCCTGAAGGGCAGAGAGAGCCAAGAACTGCCACTCTAGGGGACATTCTGAGTCTGTGACCACCGCCCTGGCCAGGATGCTGGTGACTATTTCTCCTCCCTTCCCAGGAAGGTCACATGGGCTGAGAATCCCTGAAATTTTACTTCACTTCGGAATTTTCCACAATTGAAACCTGTACGAAATTACAAAGAACAACTAAATCTGGTGAATTTTACAGTGAATCAACTCGACACAGGCCCTGTCTGAGGGTGCAATCCCCCTTATGAGCACCAGAGGGAGCCTGTAGCCCACTTCAAATCCACTTCAATCTCATTTTCAACGCAGCCTTTCCAAAGGACTTTGCCAGGGAGGAGAGGGCTCCGGAGTGGTCTGGCCCATACCCGTTTTCCTGGGAGATCCCAGAGCTCTTCTCATTCTGCTTGTCTGTCCCCCAGGAGCAGCACTTGCCCTTCTCTGGGATAATTCTTGGCTGTGGGGTCTTGAGCCTTACTCCTTCCAGAGGCAGAAACCATAATCTCCATATTTCCACCTAAAGTCTGGGGCAACTGTGAAGCCCTGAAGCACATAGATTGAATCAACGTCACGAGCAGGATCCTGGGAGGGGCAGAAATGTGGAGCCAGGGCGGGAGAGTGGTGGGAAGGGAAGAGGTGAGAGCCGGAGCGTCCCTCTTCAGTCCCGGCTGTAGATTCAGATGCAATCCACGGGGCATCGTGGTCTTCAATCTCCCGGGTGACTCTGCTGTGAAGCCAGAGCTGAAAGGCACCTGGTCGGTGGGCAGGGTCAGTTGGGGGTGAGAAGCCAAAGGCAGGGAGAGTGGAGGAGGCCCAGGGAACCTCCCTACCCTGTAGTCTGGCGAGAGAAAGCAGCTCCACAGCGCCACCACCTGGCTCCCCTATGGTGATTTGCAGGGCAGCAAAGGCCCAAAGGTTCCAGCCTTGGACAGTGTGCACGTGTGTGGGTGGGACTCGCGGGTCCTGGCTGTTCCTCACTGCGTGTTTGGACAGCAGAGCTGGGCACGAGGCCCAGGGCAGGCAGGGTGGAGCTGTGCGTCTGTTGCCCTGTCCTGTGCTCAAGTGCCCCCTGCCAGTCTCTCTCAGCCACTGCAGTCTGTGTGCCCCAGGGGATGGGTCCTGGTTGGGTGGACAGGAAGCAGGGCCTGCTCCTGCTGACACTTGGTTTCCCATCAGAGGAGCCATAGTTTGAGATTGGGGTTGACCTCCTGTCCAAAGTGAGGTGTCCCTGGCATGGGTCTCTAATTTTTTTCATGGGTCTCTAATTTTTCTGAAAGCTTTGGCCCTCAGGGCTCACCTCCAGCAATCTTGAACTTTCCCCAATTGAGAAGAAAGGGGTGTCCCACAGAACTGGCCTTGAGTAGCTCTGGTGGCCCTAATGCTAGCAAAAGGGGTGTGGCTTCCCGGGCAAATGGGGAGTCCCTGGGCAGAGGGGGCGTTGAGTCATTCCCTGGCTTCCCCTCCTCCTCACTCTGGGCAATGGGACTGCTTCTGAGGAGACTGATCTCCTCCCTGTTGGTCCACACGCGGGCCCAGGTCTCTGAGGCCTGAGCTCTGAGCCTCTGGCGGTGTGGGGGTGGCTTGTTCCTTGCCACAAGTCCACCCTTCAGGTGCCACAACCACTCCACTGGTGGTCCTGGCAGGAAGATGGATCAGGCCTGAACTCAGAGCCAGAGCCACAGCAGCCATGGCCAGATCCGTTAGGGGGCAGCACTGAGACCTGGCTGAGCCAGGGAGATGCCCAATGTCCCAGTTTAGAAAAGAAACCATGGCTCAGACTTGGTGCCTCTTCTGGGGGCTCTGGCTCAGAGGAACATCCCAGGCTGGGGACCCTGATGTATTTACCTGCCTGTTCAGACCCCAAGTGATGCCCTATAGCCCACCCCAGCCCCAGGAGGCCCGCAGTTGCTCCTGGCTGCTGTTTGTCCCTACATCTCCAAGCAGTTCATTTTCAAGAAAATCCTTGGTGTGGCCTCCCCAAGGGCTTCTGTGGTGTCACGAAGAGGGAGTCCCCAGGTGAGCACAGTAGGAGGGAGGTAGAAAAGGGGGAAGTCCTGGGCCAGGGCAAAGTTTGCAGCCCCAGAACATCTACTGTGGCACAGCACGGACCACCCCAGGGAAGTGAAAAGCAGCTTTACTGGAAGCTTTGTCCTGGGCCTGCCGTGTGACCTTGGGAAGGTCCTTGTCTGTCTCTGGACTTGGCTGTGGGGAAAACAAATGAGACAAAAAAATCTAAGTTTCAGCTTAATGTCAAGGGGCAATGACTTTATAGGAGAAGAGGTGAGCGGGAGCACTGTAACCAATCTCTTCATCTCCTCCTGGCCTTGGGATAACTGTTGTCACAGGAAAGCTGGGTCCACACACCCACAAGCACACACTTGCTTCCTCCTCCTAGGAAAGCAAATGGCAAGTGAAGAAGGAAGAGAACAGACACACCAGACAAAGCAGAGATGAGGTCGGAGAGGCCCGAGCCAGGCAGGTGTAAATTCTCTCCTGCTCTTTGTTTTCTGGAAAGCCTATCAATCAGGAATGGAGTGCATGCCAGACTTGACCCCCAGAACCCAGGGTCCTCTGCTCAGAAGTTAATGGTCATTCGGGTCTCTTGTCTGCAACCAGGTGCTCTCTTTGACATTAATAAAATCATTCAGGGGTGGCCTGAGCCCTCTGACAATCCCTGAGGGGCAGGAGCAGGAGGGAAGGGCTGGGACACTGCTCAAAGATGCTCCCTGAGCTCATTCTCCAGATCCCTGGGGACGGGTGCCCAAGACTTCTCAGATCTCATCGTCCCTCCATCCT